TGGCTTAACTTTTTGGAAATGTTGCTCATCTTTTTAATTAAACCCAAAATATCAGAGAAAGATTTTCATAAAATGCGCAAAGACACTTTTTTGAAGTCCTGGATTGAGCTACTGTTCTTAACAAACGAAATAAAAGAAATAGAATGATATCTCTTATATAGTCGTAAAGTAAACAGTAGCTCGAAATTTTGAAATAGCAATGATTAAATATAGAAAAACAATCATATTACAAACCAAAAAACATCAAAAATTGCTTGAAGTTAACTTTGAATTTCTCTTAGCCACAACAATATTATTCAACAAAATTTATGCCAGATTAATGACTATTTCATAAGGAACAAAGTTATTATAAATTTAAAGCATAAATTTATTATATTATTTCAATAAATATGATAAATGTAAACGCAAAATCACTACAAAATAAGATGCAGCGGCCGTCTGAGCTCAGTACCGCGTGAGCGCTCCTCAACGTTAGACCTGTGTCGCATTACTTCGCGCCATTTTTCGATCTAGATACGTTCGAGCGAGCGTAAATAGAGCAGTATAGTGGGACTTCCAACTTTGGTCACGAAGTTCGATTTATATGGAATTTATATAGCTTGTTGAATTATTTCTAATACACATTTGTTATTTTCAGCATAGGTCGAAAGACCCCTAGGTATATTTGTATAAGAAAGTTAAAATATATATTTATATTAAGAAATGTAAATAAAGCAAGGTACTTCTTCTCTCAATAGACTTATACTAGTACATAAAAATTGGAGTGCATATTTGTAATATTAAAATAAATAACCGCTTTTCACTAAATACATTTGTGTGTAGACATGGTACATATACAAAAATAATATATTTTATCTGTCTGTCTGTTAGTTCTGGCTAATCTCTGAAACGGCTTGACCGATTTTGAAAAGACTTTCACTAGAAGTTGACTTACGTAATGAGGATTAACTTAGACTTATGGCTCGATGCAATTCGATCGATGTCAAATTTATCGGAGATCCGCATATCAAACAACTTTTTCTAAATTCAATATATTTTTAATCCCCAACGCAAAAATGACGCGGTGTTATAAGTTTGACATGTCTGTGTGTCTGTGTGTGTGTGGTGTGTTTGTGTCTTTTTGTGGCATCATAGTTCCCGAACGGATGAGCCGATTTTGATTTTGTTTGAAAGGTGTATTAGTCGGGAGTGTTCTTCACTTTGATGAAAATCGATCCAAGATGGCCGCCGCCACAAAATGTCGGATTACATATTTTATCACCATTCCATCAATATGGGTATCAAATAAGAGGGCTTGAGTAGTAGAATACTGAACACTATGACAAATTTCAAATCCAAGATGGCCGCCACCAATAATGTTGGATTACCTACATATTTCTCACAACTCCCTCAATACGGACATTAAATAAAAGGGCTTGAGTGTTGAGTAGTATATACAAGACAAGTCAATAATGGGATGGGCGGTCAATCTTTTTTATTTAGCTGAACTGAAGGGGTGGTGGTGGGGCGGAGCGGGGCATGGCGAGTATTTACTCTCTTTTTAACGCATACTTGTTTAGTAACGTGTAAAAAAATTTCGTCACCCATCCGATTACTGACCTTTGCAAACGTCGCTTATCCTCTACAATCGCAGATCAAACTTGTTAACTACTTCAGCATCAAGTCAATCTACCCAGCATTTCTGACTGGACCCACGTGTGGTGGTGCTAAAGAACAGATATTCTCAATAGATGAAATTATTCCAACCAGCATTTCTCGTAGCATTCAGCACACCAATTAGGATTAGTAGTGTAAAACACATATTATTAATCGTTGATTTAAATGCATCCAGAATTCCGCACTGGTCCCACATAAATGTGCCAGTGTGGATTGGTGGTGCTAAAGCATATATATTTTCAATTAATGATTAATCTACCAAGTAATCCGTTTATTACTAGGTCGTCCTAAATCGCTCCACTAAAAAAATTGACCACCCATCCGATTGCCGGCCTTTGCAATCGTCGCTTAACCTCCTCAATTGCAGATCAAACGAGCTATCCGGCACCATCGGGCTTTTCATTTGTTTATATACGGATACTGCCGTATTTTTTTGTAAAATTCAATATATTTTGATGATATGGTAAGTTTAAGCAAATGAATTGTTCCTCTATATTATTGAACAGAAAATCAAAAGCAGATCGAGCGTCCTACCGCCTTCATACATTTGAAATTCACCTTCATTAATTCTAATTTACTACTTTTCCAAACAGGAAACAGTCCATGTTTCCTATGGATGACGAAAATATTCCGAAATCGTCAACGAAAAATATGGCACGAATATTTTATAATTAATATATATAACTTTATTGATATATTGTCATCGCTATTTATATTTATAGCCTATGATTTAGCTAAACTTGTTTCTTTTAATTTTTGTCCGATCTTAGCAGTCGTGTTTCTAATTTTTAAATAATTATTTATATTTTATTCCTTTTAGTGAGCAGCTTATTTTGTATAGAGAACATATATTTTTAATGGACCTTTTATTTGATACCCATAAAGTTATGATTATAAAAAAACATACTTTTTTAATAATAAATAGGTATGGGGCGTCACACGTCCCCATACCTATTTAATATTAATAAATAAAGCTAGTTTCACTGATACTCTATGTATTTTGTGGTAACTTAGGATGATGTTTCTAATGATACCCTATAAATTCATATCCGTAACATCTTTCAAAAGTTATGGTGCAATAAAAAACTCACATACATACATTAATTATAAAAACAATAGACTCCTTTCGAGAGCAGTCGTGTTAAAATATTCGGGAATCGATAATGAATCTCACCATAGAAATACTAAAATAAATACAAAAATTGGGAAAAGTATCAAAATAGCTTAAACGTGATTTCAACACAGTATTGTGGACTCGTGACCTTGAACAAGTTGTCGAGAACTCGGAACGCTTCAAAATACCTAATCTCACAGAGTGAAAATTTGTCATATAGCTCTTAAGATAATATGTACTTGACCGTCCATTCCGTCATTCGTCTGATTAAATTCTTTTTTGTTCGATTGACATTGTGACTTTAGTAAAAAGTTACGAATATGCATACTTGCAGTAGTGATAGTGAGTCAGATGTTGATAAATCCCCACCAAGAAAGAAGAAAGTGGTGAGATACGAGCAAAAATTTATTGACTCTTGGCTCAACGACGAAAAGTTTAGTGGATGGCTCGCAAAAAGTAAAAAAGGTAACACGTATTTTTACTGCTCTGCATGCGACTGTGATCGTAAATGCGGAATTCAAGAATTGACGCGACACAAAAATTCATGAAAGCACCAAGCAAACTGTAAAAAAATACAAAAGCAACCTAAGCTTACATCTTTGTTCGCATCAACATCAAAATCACAGGAACCGCAGCAAATGGCAAAAGCCGGCGAAATTAAACTAGTATGTTTTATTGCGGAACACAACCTTGCATTTAATGTTGCCTCACATCTGACTAATTTAATAAAATCGGTGTGTCCAGATTCCAAAACTGCTGAATATTTGTCTATGAGCCGAACAAAAGCAAGAGCTATTGTAGTAAATGTGACAGGAAAAACCGCTGAAGAAAACTTGATAAAAAATTTAAGGGAAAACGAGTTTGCATTGCTGGTAGATGAGAGTACTGATAAGTCGGCAATCAAGCATTTAGCTTTAATAGCGAGGCTAGTTAACACAAATTATGAAGTAGAAGATAAATTTCTAACTGTGATACCGATCACCAACGGGTCAGCTAAAGTTTTGTACCAAAAAACTGTCGAATATTTTAATGAGAAAGAAATTCCATACAAAAAGAATTTGTTAGGATTTGCTTCTGATAGCGCCAATGTGATGTTCGGGGGAAATAACTCAATGATCATTCATTTGAAGAATGACATACCTAATCTTTTCACCATGAAATGTATATGCCATTCATTTGCGCTTTGCGCATCTCACGCATGTGAAAAATTACCGAGGGGACTTGAAGATTTTTGCCGCGAAGTTTTCAATCACATCCAAAATTCACCTAAATGCATCGGTGATTATAAAACTTTTCAGGCGTTTACCAATGTAAAACCACATAAATTATAGCACCCTGCACAAACCAAATGACTATCGTTGAACGATGTCGTGAATAGATTGTTGGAACAACTTCAAGCTATAAAATTATATTTCCAATCAGCAGTGTTTACAGATCGTCTTCTTTCTGCCCAAAGCATTTTAACAAAAGCCATGGAACCGACAACTGAATTATACTTAGAATTCCTACGATTTGCTTTACCAATATTCACAGATTTAAATAAAGAAATGCAGGCAGAAAAACCAAAGTTGTACTTATTATATGTCCAGATCTACACAGCATATGTGACAATTTTAGAATGCTTTATACAACCGGTTTATTTAGAACTAACAGAAGAAGAGATAAACAAAGCCAAAGATATCTTAAATGCCAAAGAACAAAAAATATTAAGTGTTGATGTAAATGACGTGCGGATCCATTTGCCGTTATTAGAAACATATGTTGGAGGAATGGTACCCTGGAGTTGGACGACGATAAATTGTCAAATTTTTACAGGAAATGTAAAGAGTTTTATATTGAAGCAGTAGCCCAAATCAAACGAAGGTTTCCTTTCGCTGATAAAGAACGTCAGGCACTAAAATGTTTACAGATGTTGAACCCACAAGCGATTTTAGGTCATGATTTGAGCAAAAAACATATAACTTCAATTTCAGAATTATTATATTATTTCCCAAGTATTTGTCCAGAAAATATAACAGAATTAGATAGAGAATTAGATAGAGAATGGAGAAATCTTCGCAAGACCAATTTAAATCTTGACGAGTCTGATACGCCCAGTGTAGATAAATTTTGGTGGCATGTTTCCAAATTAAAAAAAGGCGACGGATCTGCAATGTTTCCGCTATTATCGACTTTAACCAAAAAGCTTCTATGTTTGCCGCACAGTACTGCTACGGTAGAACGTTTGTTTTCGAGCATTAATGTTATGGAAACGAAACTAAGAAATAAACTTTCTACAACCACAATAAAAGGTAACTTGCACACAAAGTCAGAAATAAAAAATTGTTTTGAGTTCAATGTGACAAATGACCATTTCAAAAAATTCAATAAAAATATGTATGATTTCAACAAAAATAAAGATGAAACGGAAAATCAAGAGGATTTACAAATTGAAAATGAGATAGTAGCTAGCTAGTGACACTATCTACTACTAAAAGCTGTGATTTTCAAGGAAAGCTTCCTAAAAAATCGCTAATCGCATTTTCTGAAGTGTTGGATTAGCATTTTCATACTAGTTTTTAAATATTACTAATTTTATTTGACTTAAATGTTTGAGAATTTTGGAATTTAATTTGATTAAAACTTTGACAATTACATGATTTTTATTGTTTTTAATTCCTTCGCTATAATATTCTATTTATTACTACTATCATTAAATAATATAAAATAATAAAAAGATAAAGATGTAGATTTACTGTTTTTTAATTTGATATTTACAGTTTTCTACAGTTTTTTTCAAGCATATCTGCAGTTTTGCTCTATGCTGGGGTTGGCAACACAGGTTTTCTCGTCCATATGCTTTTTAGTAACATGTTTCTGCGGGGTATTAAATAGAACCGATTTATACAAATTAAGAGGTGAAGTTTTAGTTGTATGTTGTCTTATGTGCATAATTTTTTGTCTCAGAGGTGTTAGTGTAGTTTTCGTTCTTTTCCCTGTTTCATATGTAAGTATTTTTAAAATGTCGATTTGCTTCTCCTGTTTTTCAATAGTAATTTTTAGGTTGTGATTTTCTGAATTTAAATTTTCTATTTCATGTTCTGCCTGTTCAAGTTTAGTTTTAAGATTTTCAATTTCCTGTAAATATTCATTGCTATTGAAACTAGTATTGTTTTGTATTTTACTGTATGTGCTTAACATAGTTGAATCCAGAATGGTAGAATTTAGCACATCTTGGGTGGTCATTGATAAATCCAAGTCCGATTTTGATCTGGGTAGTTTGTTGCGTATTGTAACGTTGTCCATTTCAATAAAATAAGATAAAATCAGTCTAAATGTCAATAAAATAAAAAAATAAAAAATTTACGAAGATTTGAACTCAAGCCTCAAGTTATGAACGCGATACTCATAGCCGTTAGGCTACCGAACGCATAAGCTTTACAGCAAATTTAGTCACTGCAATCCGCTGCGTCAATGTCGGGCTTATTCGGTGATTGTCGTGTACGATCATTAACAAAGTCAGCTGTTCAGGACAGCTGAGTGACAACTGTTTGATATATCATTCACATTCACTGTCTGCACACTAAAATCGCTTCAATGTGCTTCAAGTCTAGTGCAAATAAGGTCAAAAACGGCGTACACTGATTCTGCATTCAAATAAAATTAACGTATGCCTAATCCAATTTTTAAAGAAATAATCACTTTGAGACAAATATTATTTATTATTTTGATGATAAATCCATTCGTGGTTCACTTGATTGTATTGTGTGAAGCCCGTTTGCAAATTTTTAGTTTGTTTACGTATAATTGTTCACTATCACTTTTCACTATTAGTTTGTTGTTAATTAGTTGTTTGTTTTTGTAGATAACAATTTTTCGTAACATTTATTTAATAATTTTCCTTTTGAATCCACAGAACTATCGGTCAATGCTAAATAAATACTGTAATATCACTCTTTATTTATTATTGAACTGCCGGTATCAAAAGGGTTTTTTGGCTGTGCCTATTGAATTTATTATTTTTCTATAAAATATTCTGCTTGTTGTAATTTAGGCTTCACGTTAGTCGAGTTTTCTAAAGTTCAATTTCAAATTGAAAAGACAATAAATAGACGACTGTTTTTTGTCTTTTTCAAAATGTGCATAATGTTAAAGCAAAGCAAAAGTATGGTTTGACAGAGTTTTAAATAAATTAATAATAGTAGTTCTGGTAAAAAATGCAACCAGCTGTTTTTGTGCTCGCAATGTGACAAACCCATAATGACATAATTTAGCAAAAATTTTGAAGTACCGCTATGTAATGCTATAACCACCAACGTTTCTACGTGTGAACTACGACCAAATCATACTGCTATGAGTTCACTCACTAATAGCAGCATTAATGTATAATGTTACGGACCAAGTTATAAATAAGGTAATTATGACTAATAACAAGCTACTTATGGAAAAATATTTAATTATGGTTTGAAATTCTTTATTTATCACGTTGCCTGACAATTATGAATAAAACTAAATGGTGTTCGAGCAATCTGATAAAATATATTATACATAGAGAGTAGAATAAACTAGGAAGGATTTGGCGTAAATAATTCATCAACTATTTTTCCAGACCATGTGATTTCTGTTTCAAAAATCTTTCTAACCGATGACGTGACCAACAGGGATAGGACTATTTTTGCTTTTCAATTAAGAATTGTATAAATTGAACATATTCTATATCTATCTTTAAAAAAGGTGTGGATTCTAAAGCTTATCTGTTTTACTATTGAAATGAAAATAGAACCGTCATAACAACGATTTAGTCTTGAAATTATACGTGATGCTATTGAAATTAAAAAGCATAGCAAAGCATTTTTTATCTTGAAATCATCGAAATATCATTCTCATGAACATAGAATATGTAAAGGATCGCAAATGTTTAAAAATGACTTCACCCGCATAACCCGCGTATACAAATTATATTTTTTTAAAGTAGTAGGTATACGCTGGTTGGGAGAAATTTTAAAAACGAGCTAGCAGTTGCGGAGCCTATGCGATGAAAACAAACAAACAAATAAATCTTTCCTATTTTTAATATTAGTATATAGACTATTTCATGTGATATATATCAAATGAAATTATAAGATAGAGAATTTAAATAATGTCTTTAATTTCTAGCTAAATAAATCTGGACATAAGACCGGTAAATACTTGGTATTGGAATTCCTAGGTTTTACTTTACATCTCAATTACCGGTACTTTTAGATAGATAGATAGAATATTCTTTATTGCACACACAAATACAATATACACTTATATGACAAAAACAGGAAACTTACTAAATTTCCAGGATTTACAGGAAACTTACTAAACTTACGAAAAAAATTCGCATATCTATAACAATGAAGAAAACATAAAAATTGAAAATTCTTTTCTTATTCTGATGATAATTTATTTGATAAATCATATGTAACGATAAAGTTAACTAATAAAAATTGCATTTTCGTGAACATTATCTTATTTAATAATATCAAAATGACTTTGAAATCAAAACGATTTTGGACATATAAGTCGTTCATTATACTTAGATATAGTAAAAGTTTCCAATCTGATAAAATATATTATACATAGAGAGTAGAATAAACTAGGAAGGATTTGGCGTAAATAATTCATCAACTATTTTTCCAGACCATGTGATTTCTGTTTCAAAAATCTTTCTAACCGATGACGTGACCAACAGGGATAGGACTATTTTTGCTTTTCAATTAAGAATTGTATAAATTGAACATATTCTATATCTATCTTTAAAAAAGGTGTGGATTCTAAAGCTTATCTGTTTTACTATTGAAATGAAAATAGAACCGTCATAACAACGATTTAGTCTTGAAATTATACGTGATGCTATTGAAATTAAAAAGCATAGCAAAGCATTTTTTATCTTGAAATCATCGAAATATCATTCTCATGAACATAGAATATGTAAAGGATCGCAAATGTTTAAAAATGACTTCACCCGCATAACCCGCGTATACAAATTATATTTTTTTAAAGTAGTAGGTATACGCTGGTTGGGAGAAATTTTAAAAACGAGCTAGCAGTTGCGGAGCCTATGCGATGAAAACAAACAAACAAATAAATCTTTCCTATTTTTAATATTAGTATATAGACTATTTCATGTGATATATATCAAATGAAATTATAAGATAGAGAATTTAAATAATGTCTTTAATTTCTAGCTAAATAAATCTGGACATAAGACCGGTAAATACTTGGTATTGGAATTCCTAGGTTTTACTTTACATCTCAATTACCGGTACTTTTAGATAGATAGATAGAATATTCTTTATTGCACACACAAATACAATATACACTTATATGACAAAAACAGGAAACTTACAATTGGCGGCCTTATTTTCAAAATAATAAAAAGATGTAAATTACGCTATTGTTAAAAAACACAACGAATTTTACTCATAGTGATAATATTTTGATTGAAACAAAAGATAATAAGCTTTAGAATTTTAGCTTAAAAACTTTAGTACTGTCTTACCTTTTGTTTTTCATTCACAGACGGTCTGTAGTTGTATTAATACCCTTTTGTTCATTAATGTTTAAATAGACAATAAAGTTAGGAAATCCCGCGTTTAGAATGTGTTTGAGCATTATTATTTATTTCATCAATCAAATTGAAGTAAGACTAGTGAGAATTTTGTAAAAAATGAACAAAACCATGTTATCTTGAGAAATTCCTAACGAAAAATATACATTTTCTTTTTTCTTTTCATTACTTTAGAACTAATACGATCATAATTAAGTGTACGTAAAGGGGCTCTTACAAAAACCTGAGACATCTAATCTTTGATAATAATACAGTATTGTATATTTCCATCGCTTTCACTTAAATATAAAATTATATTCTGCAATTCAAGGATTTTGTTGCAAGTTTTGAAATATTTAGTTTACCAAGTGTTGTATACAACCAAAAAATAACATTTTCTGTTGTACCCGATAGAGTAAATGTAGTATTTTTTATTTTTATTAAAATATATATTACAATTACTATTGCATGCCCTTAAATTTGCTAAAAACAACACGTGTTAAGCTCAATCATAACAAAACCCTACATAAAAGGTTATATTGAGTATATCTATCTCACTCACCACCACGAGAGGGAAAGAGACCATAAAATATTTAAGAATGGACTTTTTCGCAAACTCCATATTGATCTCAAAGGTCAATGAGTGGCTTAGACAGTTCAAGTGCAACCATCGTCCGGGGTACACTTCATAACTGTGCATCAAATACTCACTTTTCGAATTTTTTATTTTTATAAAAAAAAACTTATTCTGTGCGTGTTGGATTCTTGTTATTGAAGTTGTTTTGAGTATGTATTTGTTTTGCTATTTGTGCTATTTTCTGTTTTATTTTATAAAGATTATATTGACTGAATCCGTGAACACTGATACAACTCGAGTTGTATCAGACTTGGTTTCTGTGTCTTACACATTTTAATATAAGTCATAGTTCCACTGACAGTGTAATACAAGTAAAAGGTTCAAATAATATATATTTTATGAAACCTTTTTGTATATCTCATTATACTCCGTGACCTACTTCGTAAAATTATAATATCTAACAGTTTTTGAGCAATATCGAAATGATTATCTAACATCTAACGAAATCAAGTGGAACTAAAGCATAGTGGAGGATCTCTATTAACATAAAATGAAAAATGGTAATAATGCCAGAATGAAAGCAATAATAGATCTACATAAAGATAATATATAAAAAATATGTAATATATCCATTCAAAATTATCAAATCAGTCTCAGCTGGTCTAACAATTACGGTAACGGTGATAAGTGTTTGAATCTTACAACATGTTTGACTTTCGATAATACACAGCCTTAAGCGATCAATAGAATTTAAATAGTGAACCTATTAGATTTATTAATTCTGAAAAAAAAAAATTCGCATATCTATAACAATGAAGAAAACATAAAAATTGAAAATTCTTTTCTTATTCTGATGATAATTTATTTGATAAATCATATGTAACGATAAAGTTAACTAATAAAAATTGCATTTTCGTGAACATTATCTTATTTAATAATATCAAAATGACTTTGAAATCAAAACGATTTTGGACATATAAGTCGTTCATTATACTTAGATATAGTAAAAGTTTCCACTAGTGAAAGAGTTCGTAGTCCCCAAAAATCTAAATCATTGTTAATAATATGTTCTAAAAAAATCAACTTTTTAAACAAAACATGGCTCTAATCCAAACCTTTGAAGACTAATATATATTGAAATTCAACATGTACCAGTATTCACAGGAGGCACAATGTTTTTCTAATATTTATTATTTTATATTTAATAAATCAATTTGTACCTACATATACACTTACTACATATTTAACAT